TGACCGCATGCTTCGCCTTGGCAACCGCAATGAAAAAGCAATCACCTTGACCGTCACATTCGCGGACAGTCATATACTTCACAAAGGGGGCATCGAAGGCGTGGTTGAGCACCTGACCCTCTGGACCCTTCCTGCGCTTATCCGGCTCCTCCGTGACCTCCACCTGGCCGTCAACTGGGACATCAGCTGCCGGCTGGGCCGGAGCTGCTGGCGCCTTGAGTTCCCCTGGAAACTGCTCGAACTGCACTGGCGGCTTTGTGGGCCCCCATGTGCTGACGGGCTTCTCTTTTGTTTCTACTTTCTCTTTGTCCTTACCTTCTTTCTCTTTGAAGGCTCGACTGACAACCGTCCCCGACGCAAAGGTGTAACATGCAGAATTTGCCCCAGCTGGCGCATCCGCAAAGAACGACCAGGCACGCGCACCCGGTCGACGCACATCTCGAACATGGGTAAACCCCGCTCCTTGGCCCGGGACTCCACTTCGGTCTCCCGAACCCACTGCGGAGGACTATGTTTAAGAAACCAGCGAACAGCATCGGCAGCACCCGCAGGAAGTTGAGCACGACCGACGACGCCAATCTTAGACTTGCCTTGAGGGCGGTAGATCACACGACCCTCCCCTTTCAGCTCGGACACGCGCTTGTAGTAATCACCCTCCGTCTCCCCAGCCTCCTGTGCGAACCATCTGGCTAGCGAAGGCCCCGTCGACGAACGGTCTTGCGGCATAGCGAAGCACCCCTTGGTCGGCATGCACTTCAGAAACTTGTCGGCGTGCTGCTCTGTCGCTGAGATAACCGCCGTCACCTCGCTGCCGTAGGCCACCGCCCCTCGCGCCCGCAGGATCAAGGCCGCCAGCTCTGGCCCCAACACCGTCGTGGGAAGTTGACGCGGGCCATCTGCAGCTTGAGCGTAAGCGGCCTCCTCCGCGTAATAGCTTAAAAAGTACTCCGAAAATAGACTGGCTTGACCGTTTCAACCTCGATGGGCTGGTCATCCTTCATCGTCGTCGGAAGTTCCACCCTTCGCGGGGCCGAGGGGCCCGCCGCGATGAATATGGCCTTGAACTTGGTCGGACCACGCCCACCTTCCATGGGGATATCTTCGTCACCGTTGGGATCGACGATGACGGTCGGCACGTTCTGGCGATGGCCGCGTGCGCGACGTGCACGCTCGGCCGCCTCAAACTCGGCATCAGACCAGGCAAGGACCACGACCGACTGGGAGCTGGTCGCGTAGAACTGCTGGACTTGCTTGGCCGCCATGATGGCGGTGTCCCCCCACGGCGCTGCCCAGAGCTTGGGCTTGGGCATGTCCTTGGGAGCATCATCGGACTTGGGCGCATCCTTGGGCTTGGGCGCATCCTTGGGGGCATCATCGTAGCGGCTGATCACCTTCTTCAGCTGGGCCATGATGGCATTTGTTGACTCTTTGCCTGTCATTCCGCTGGCCAACTTCTTCAAGGGGGCTACGATCGGCAGGTCTTTCTTGGACTTGGCGGGCGCGCGAGGGGCTCGAGCTTGTGACTGGAGCTCTGCAATCGCACGTGCCAGTCCTTCGATCCTCGCAGACATAGACTGTGCCTCTCGACGTTTGCGCGTTGTCGAAGCACCGCCACCTCCATATAGCGGATCCCCAGCTATCATCACTGGGCCGCCGTCCACATACTGACATGCGCAAAATTGAGGGACATCGGCATCGAAGACAACTCCCGAAAACAGATCGCATTCAGATCCTGAATCCTGTCGCACCGCGGCTCGGTCCCCAAGAACCTGGTCAGTAACCTTCCCGATCTCCCGATTGAGGAACCCAAAAACCTTCAAGATAACAAGCATCCCGAAGCACAGCATGGCGTGAAAGGCTTGCGCAGCTAGATGGTGCAGCCGATCTCCTGGAGGCCGACCGACCAATTCGCCCCGTCCCACGGACGATCCCGACCTCACCAAGGAGTGATGAACTCCAGGGGGTAGCTGCGTGAGGTCGTACCCGTCCTCTCCGTTTGGGTCCTCGTCCAAGCGGCTCTGTAGTTGAGAACGGTTGGGCTCCGATTCGCCGTGAATGCAGAACCGTAGCTGATGACGTGCAATTGGCCATTCTTCTCGCGCGTGCACGCAATGGCTGGGCCCCGCAGCGCCACTGCCGTAGCATCCGCTGCCGCTGCCCGCGTCCCCGCTGGCACTGCCCACCTTCTGGGTGCTGCCACTGTCCGCTTGCTTTTGACCTTTACTGCCACTGCCCGCCGACCCTTGACAGCCGCTGCCACTGCCGTCACTTCACACGCGCCCTGTAGCCACTGTCCGCCTTCTGGATGCTGGATCTGGCTGCCCCTCCACCAAGTCCTCATCCTCTCCGTCTGGGTCCTCGTTCAAGCGGCTCTGTAGCTGATCGCGGTTGGGCTCCGACACGCCGTGGCCGCCTTTGCCGTAACATCCGCTGCCATTGCCCGCATCCCTTTCCGGTGCTGCCACTGCCTGCAAGTTCTTGACCACTACTGCCACTGTCCGCCAAATCTTGACCACCGCTGCCACTGCCGTTATCTCCGCCCGCGCCCTGTTGCCACTGCCCGCATTCTGGATATTGATACTGGCGCTTGGGGACCTCCTCCATTGATTTTGCGGTACGTAAGCTCGCAGCCGATGCTCGCCTTTTTTGTTGCATGCTGCTTGCGGGATTGTGGCGGATGACGTTCGGGCTCAGCGCGGTCACATCCATCTAGCACAGCTTCCCTAGAACTCCCTGTCACTTCTCTCTCTCTCTCTCTCTGCTGCCGCAGGCTTTTGAGCCAAGATGTTGTGTTTGAGCCTAGCTGTTGTTTGAGCCACGCCATCGTTTTTTTGATTGCTGACCGCTGCTGCCACTGCCGTCGCTGCCTGGGGCCACGCACCTCCTTGCTCGCAGGGGTCATTCGCTTCGGCGCTGTAGCTGATGACGTCAGTCGTCCATCGCTGTCCCAAAAAGGCTGCCACTCTCGCACTTGGCGCTGCAGCTTGGAAATGTGCTTACGTTGAGACTGCAGTTGATGGCTCGCTGCTCGCTGCGCCGCCACCTGGCGCGTTTTCCGCGCGACGCGGACCTGTTGAGCCCAGGGGTTCGTCTGCTGCAGCTGCACCGGCTCCACGCTCTGCCTGAGAGCGTCCTGCCAGGGCCGTGCCGTATGACGAGGCTCCATCGCGGCGCGGTCGGCAGATCCTGCGAACGCACGCGCCTAGGGCCCGCCCGCGCGGCGGCCCCCCCAGCGGGGGGGAGAGCCGCGGTTCGGGCCCCCGATGGCCTTTCCTCCTCCTCCTCGTCCTCCTCCTTGCTCGTGCTGCCTGCTCCTCCTCCTCCTCCTCCTCCTCCTCCTCCTCCTCCTCCTCGTGCCCTCCTCCTCCTCCTCCTCCTCCTCTCCTCTTCCTCCTGCTCCTCTCCTCCTCCTCCTCCTTGTCCTCCTCCTCCTCCTCGTCTCTCCTCCTCCTCCTCCTCCTCCTCCTCCTCCTCCTTCTCCGGGAATGGCGGCATCGGTACCTTTTGGTCTCCCCATTTGCGGGAAGTTGGGCGGGAGTGGGACGAGGGCGGCCTGGAAAGCGGGAGCTGGCGGGCGGCAGAAGTCGGGCGGGGCTAGGACGGTCAAGCAGTGGCGGAGCGCCCTGGCGTGCTTATAGGCCTACCAAGCAATGTTCTAAGAACCTCTTGTGGTTCGCGCGAACTGTTCTTAGAATATTTCTGGCTGGGGGCTGTCTTGTTTTAACACATCGGGTTTATGTTCTAAGGTCATTGTTTTTGTTGTTAGAACAATGTTGGGTTCTCAGAACATTTCGTGGTAGGCCTATGGAAATGCCGGGACGGTCGGTTCCTGCTCAATTCCAGAGCGTTCCAGAACGCTCTCGGAGCGTTCCAGAGAGCTCCGAGAAGTCCGCGGCGCCCGAGGCGTCCTCCAGAGTCGCCGGATCTCAGAGATTCTGGATCTATCCCCACCCGAATGTGTACTCGTCCTGGCTTAGTCTTTTACCCCGAGATCGATCCTCAAGATCCACCCCCCTGGAGGCCCCACCCCCGAACTATCCAGTCCCCGAGATCCGACGTTGCAAAAAAAAACCATATCGCAAAAATCACGTCCGGAGCCCTGGACCTCATCTTTCTGCGTCATTTTTCGAGCCCGATCGATCTGTGCGGGTCCCGGGGCCCGAAATCGAGCGAAAACGCCCGTCGCGAGAAAATTGCACCGCCAGGATCTCAGGGGTCGCCGAGGTCCTCGAGAGCCAGGCCGGCCGAGCAGCGGGCCCGCGGCGGGGACGCCCCCAGGCCAGCGTCCAGAGCTCCTCCGGGACGTTCGACGCCGGGTGCGCCCCAGCCTTCCCTGCCCGGGTGACGCGGAGAGGGCTCCGGCGGGCTCTGCTCCTGCCCCGGGGCCCCCCCCCCGGGCCGGGGGGGGGGAGGGCGAGGAGGACAAGGATCGATAATAAAGGAGGAGGAGGCCCGGGGAGGAGGGACGAGGAGCGAGGAGGAGGAGGACGAGGAAGAGGAGGACGATGAGGACGGGAAGGAATAGGATTTTTGATCGAGGAGGAGGAGGAGGAGGAGAATCGAGGAGGATCGAGGAGGAGGGAGCCGACGCGACACTTGGCTGGAACGTGGTGGGCGCGGCACTTGGCTGGAACGTGGTGGACGTGGTCAAGAATGTACTGGAGAGGACGGGTGGCCAATCATCAGCGCGCAGCGCGCAGCATCAATGCCAATCCGACGGGGCCTTTCTCCGACGAGGATGTGCAACAGAAGTAACGCCTGTTCTGCAAGCGAGAGTTTGCGAGGACGGACGCGCTCATCAAACGCGTTCTTCTGAGGCGATGCCCGGCCCGCGCAGACGGCGTCGCGGCTCAGGCAGCACAAGGGGACCCCCTTGCCGCGGCTTCCCCTGCCCCCGCCGGGCCGGGCGCTGATGTCCCAGCCGATCAGAGAGGCGAAGGCGGCGCCGACGGAGGGCCGGAAGCGGGCGGCGGCTTTGTCGGGCGAGGAGGCCGAGGCAAATGGAGAGGCAAACGACGTGGCGGGGCCGCCAGGCAAGGCATTGGGTGAGGCTGGCGCGGCAGCGCGAGGACATCGCGATGGCGACCCACGGCGACGACAACTTCGTCATCCAGCTCCAGCCGAAAAGCAAGACGGAGGTGGCTCGCCATGGCGCGCCACGAGGACGGGGCAGAAAGGAAAGGGAGAGGGCGCAGGAGACGGGCCAGGAGTTCATGGGCAACCCGCAACGCAAGAGGCCAGATGCGCTGGCGAGAGCGGCCATCTTCCGCATCGCAGATGCTCTGGGGGCCAGCAGGGTGCAAGTGGTGGCGGCTGCAGAGTGGGGCGTGGGGCCGCAGGAGGCGAAGCAGGCGATCAAGGTGATATTCCGCTTTGGCAAGTCTGCGCAGGACCCGTCGGTGAAGTTCGTGGCCACGAGGTGTTTCCGCGTGAAGAAAAGGACGGGGCGGGCGACGCCGAGGCCGCGGGCGCGGGAGAAGTGAAGTGGAACTTCGCAGACATTCGCTAACCACTCCGAAGGAGGCGCTGAAGGTCTCGAGGATAATAAGGGCGCTTGCAGCAGCGGGCATTCAGGTGCAATGCGAGATCGCGTCAAGGGAGGACGACGAGGGCCTCGGGCAGGAGCGGGAAGAAGCTGAAGAGGAAACGAGTGCTATAGTTGTGGCCTCGCTCTCTTACCACCCCATCGGACCTTCCATCCCCCCAGGCCTCCAGGGGAACAGCTGCCATGTCGCCCCGTGCCCGCCCTCCCTTCCGGCGCCGACCGACTTCGGGACGCGCCGCGCAGTTTCGATCGGTTGTGGTGTCGCCCCCGTGAAACTTATTAGGCAGTCGGAATAGGGATGACAAAAGAGGAATATCGGCGGAAGCCGGCGCCAAAAAAAGTTTCACCTCCCAAGAAATGACGAGATTTTTGGTCCAGGGTTTCTGGAACCCGCCATACATGTTGTGCGTGGTACCAAGTGGCATTCGGCGCAAGGTTGTGGACCAGATGCCCCTCAGATGCCTATTGTTGTCCCTTGTTATGCCTGTCGGAGCCTCTCGAAGGGGGGGTCTTTTTGGGGGCAATCTTGGAGGGAAAGGAAGGTTCCCGAGGCCCCTTCGCTTTCACTGTCTTGGGCACCTCCCCTGTTTTTTTGGTTTGCTGGAACCTCTTGAACCTTATTGGGGGTTTTCGTGGGCCGTCTTGAAGTTCTCTTTGGCCGTTTTGGTGTCCTGATGGGGGCCTCGTTGTATACAGCCGGGCGGATAAATGAGGCCCCTGTCATTTTATGTTCGAGACTTTGAGGGACATCCGTGACTATGGCCTCTTGAGGCTGTTTTGGGGGTCATGCTGGAGCCTCCTAGGGCGGTTTGGAACATCTTGGGCCGTCTTTGGGCCGTCTGGTGCTGTCCTGGTGCGATATTGCAGTATTGTGTTTTTTCGACCGTGGGCCCTCGTGGGGGCCTTTTGGCCCGTCGTGGACATTTTTGGCCCTAAGGAATCTCACGCGACACATCCCAGAAACAAATTGGCAATATGGGACCTGGGCTTTTGAAAAGTTCGACGGTTTCAGCATACAGACTTCGAAGGGACGTCAGGGCACTCCATTCAGTGCCTACGGCATTGTTGCGGACTCACGCCATTGTTATGTGTTGTTCTCATAGTAAGTATGTTTCACGTTGAGTTATGTGTGCGTGTGTTTGACATGTTTGAAAAGTTGCGTTTCCCAAACAGTGTTTGCATTTACGGGATCAAGCTTGCGCCCCGGAGGAGTTGGTTGGGTACGGCGAGGACTTTCCACGTCACCGCCCGAGGCCGCTTCGCTGCTGCCTCGTGCGCTGGGTGTGCCCGTCAAGGTTTCGCCGCGTTGCCGCCTCTTCGCCACCTTGTCCAGCGAGGCTTTGCCACGTTGCCACCTGGTTGCGGCCTTGTGCGCTGGCTTGGTTAGGCGAGGTTCTGCCACGTTCCTCCCCGTTGCCGCCTTCTTGCCGCCTCGTGCCCTGCGTGTGTCTGGCGAAGTTTCGCCACGCTGCTTCATTTTGCCGCCTCGCTGCCGCATTGTGTGTTGGGTGGGTTTGGCGAAGTTTTGCCTTGTAGCTGCCTCGTTGCCCCCCCGTTGCCGCCTCGATGCCGCCTTGTGTGCTGGATGGGTCAGGCGCGAGTTTCGTCACGTTGTATTCCGTGGCCGCCTCATTGCCGCCTCGTGCGCTGGATGGGTCCGGCGAGGTTTCGCCACATTGCCGCCTCGTTGCGTCATCGTTGCCGCCTCGTGCGCTGGGTGTGTCTGGCAATGTTTCGCCACGTTGCCGCCCGTTGCCGCCGCGTTTCAGCCCCGACCAGCCTGCGATTAACATGCAGTGAAATTGTTGTCGCTTCGCGAATCCCCACCAGCCCATCCAGAAACGATGCCCAGAGGAATTGCCTCGATCAGAGAAGTGGGCAGCACACAGAGGAAGCCATTATGAGACATCTTGGGATATCTTGAGCCATCTTGGAGGTCATTTTGGGCTCTCCCAGACGCTCTTGGAGTCATCTTAATCCGTGCCCCCCCCCAAGAGGCCTCCATGTGGCTAAAACCTGTGTAGAATCAATGATTAGGCATTCTCGCCGAGGCCTCTTGGAGCATCTTGGGTGCATCTGGGGGGGCTCTTGGGGCCTCTTGGGGGTCTCTTGGGGGCCTCCGGGGGGCCTCTTGGGGGCCTCTTGGGGCCATTTTGGGGCCATCTTGGGACCTCTTGGGGCTTCCTGGGCGCTTCTTGGGGCCATCTTGGAGGGAGTCGATCAAACAAGAGGGGGGGGTGAATTAGCGCCCCCCTCGGAAGCCCCTAAAATCGCCTCTTGGACCCCTCTTGGAACGCTCTTGGAGTGCTCTTGGGCGCTCTTGGGGCCGTCTTGGGGCTCTTTTGGGGCTCTCTTGGGGCCCTCTTGGGCCATCTTGGAACCATCTCCAGGCCTCGGATGGCCATCGGAAGCGAAAAGGCGAGAAAGCAAAAATCATTGATTTTCCTTAGGTTTTGGGACGATTTTGGCCTCTTCGGGGCCTCCTTGGGGAGCTGTTTGGCCACTTGGAGTTATCTTGGGGCCGTCTTTGGGCTTCTTGGAACCATCTTAGGAGCCATCTCGAGCGATCTTGCGCTATCTTGAGCCATCTTGGAGCTCATCTTGGGTTCTCTGAGGCGCTCTTGGAGCCGTCTTGGGCCATCTGGGACGCTCTAACTACCAGCGGCCCCCCCCGTCCAGGTCCAGGGGAGGGGGTAGGGGGAGGGGTAAACCCCTCCCCAAGGGGGAAGAGGGAGGGGTGGAAGAGGATCTGCTCTAGACCACCTACGCCCAGAGGGCTGGTGGGATTCGCCTGGGAGGCCGCATTGTGTCTGCTCCAGGAGGCCCAGGACGACGCCGCGGAGGGAAACGCTCTCCAAGTGCAGCGGAAGAGGCAGCGACGCACGCGCTTGCTGTACAAGCTTGCGCCAGGTCGCAGCTCTGGAATCCCACCAGCCCTCTGGGCGTAGGTGGTCTAGAGCAGATCCTCTTCCACCCCTCCCTCTTCCCCCTTGGGGAGGGGTTTACCCCTCCCCCTACCCCCTCCCCTGGACCTGGACGGGGGGGGCCGCGGGTAGTTAGAGCGTCCAAGATGGCCCAAGACGGCTCCAAGAGCGCCTCAGAGAACCCAAGATGAGCTCCAAGATGGCTCAAGATAGCGCAAGATCGCTCACGATGGCTCCTAAGATGGTTCCAAGAAGCCCAAAGACGGCCCCAAGATAACTCCAAGTGGCCAAACAGCTCCCCAAGGAGGCCCCGAAGAGGCCAAAATCGTCCCAAAACCTAAGGAAAATCAATGATTTTTGCTTTCTCGCCTTTTCGCTTCCGATGGCCATCCGAGGCCTGGAGATGGCTCCAAGATGGCCCAAGAGGGCCCCAAGAGAGCCCCAAAAGAGCCCCAAGACGGCCCCAAGAGCGCCCAAGAGCACTCCAAGAGCGTTCCAAGAGGGGTCCAAGAGGCGATTTTAGGGGCTTCCGAGGGGGGGCGCTAATTCACCCCCCCCTCTTGTTTGATCGACTCCCTCCAAGATGGCCCCAAGAAGCGCCCAGGAAGCCCCAAGAGGTCCCAAGATGGCCCCAAAATGGCCCCAAGAGGCCCCCAAGAGGCCCCCCGGAGGCCCCCAAGAGACCCCCAAGAGGCCCCAAGAGCCCCCCCAGATGCACCCAAGATGCTCCAAGAGGCCTCGGCGAGAATGCCTAATCATTGATTCTACACAGGTTTTAGCCACATGGAGGCCTCTTGGGGGGGGGCACGGATTAAGATGACTCCAAGAGCGTCTGGGAGAGCCCAAAATGACCTCCAAGATGGCTCAAGATATCCCAAGATGTCTCATAATGGCTTCCTCTGTGTGCTGCCCACTTCTCTGATCGAGGCAATTCCTCTGGGCATCGTTTCTGGATGGGCTGGTGGGGATTCGCGAAGCGACAACAATTGGGGTCATCATCGACGAGCGCGGCAAAGTCGTGACAGGGGCGACCGAGATGGCGAGCGTGCTCCGGCGGCCTTGAGCAGAGACTTTCTGGAACGCGGAATGCTGCAGGATTTTCTCGAGGAGCTCCAGGGTCCTCTGCATGCGGTGGCGCGCGAAGTTCAGTTCAGACGCCAACGCGTTCAGGAAGTCGTCCAACGGTCCAACGACTCCTGACCAGGGTCAGACGGGCTACCTTAGGGGGCTTGGAGGGCGTTGGGAAACTTCGTAGTGAACGTGTTGCACGGGGTTTTCCAAGATATGGTGTCCGACGCAAGGGAGGAGCGGGTACGGCAGCTTACGCTGACTTGATGAGAGTCTTCTCTTCTTCCGGCCCAGAGTTCTTGAGAGTCCCTTGGGAGGTCAGATCGCACCCTTCCCTGCGAGCGGCGTTCGGCCGTTTAACGTGACGAATTGCGGCAATCGCCCCTTCGCCAGTGTGAACCGTTTCGTCCTGGAGCCCGCGACCGAGCCGCTCATCATCTTGGACCAGCGTGGGTTCTTATCAGAGGGTCCGATGATCGCGAACCTCCTCGACGTAGATGAGGCGAGTGCTTAAGTAGCCGCAGAAGGGGAGGGTGGCCTTGCTCGTTTTTTTTTGCGATGTTGCTGCCGTCTCCCTTCAATTGAGCACAGTACGGTCTATAAGTGTTTTACTTGTTTTGCTTCGTTGGGCTGGCCTCCATGGCTGCTCCGAGCCGTCGGCATTCTTTACCACGACAACGTCTGCTCCATCAGCTTGGGCGGGACCCGATACAGAGGCTTCCCACAGACACGGGGCATCCGGCTGGGATGCCCCGTCCCTCCTCTTTTGTTCGCCATGGCCGCGGACCGAATGCTGCGCAGGCTATGGAGGGTATCCCCTTCCCCGTGCACGCGGGCATGGGCTGACGACTTGGCCATAGTAGTTGGGGAGGGTTTAGTCGCCTTCGCCTTCGTTGCCTCCAGTCGTTTTCCACAGATTTTGCTTTGGTGTCCGGGCTCCAGCTCA